AGCCTGGGCTACAAAGTGAGTTCAAGGCCAGCCTGAACTGCATAGTAAACTGTCCCCAAAAAAGACCAAAAAAAAAGGAAGAGGAAGAAGAAAAGAAAGAAACCAGAAAGACAACTCTGGTGGATTGACAACGGGTGGTCAACTTGTAACCCCCAGCTGAACTGAACCAGCGTGGTGCTGGGTGTGGGAGGCCGCCTGGGGATCGTTGCCAGCAGTGTGAAGAAGAGAACTGGAGAGGAAGAGGGGTGCTGCTGATTCTCCTGGAGAAGCCTGTCGTGCTGGCCTTCCTGATGGGAACTCGGCTCTTATCAGGGAAGCCTGGGAGCTTGCTGTCGGTGAGGATGGCTGTGGTTGTTTCAGGGAGCTCTGGTCCTTACCTGGAGCATCACGTCCCAGCTCCAGTGCAGATCCCTCAGCCTGCTGGCACAGATCCTTCATCTGGCTGGTGCAGACTTTCTGGCTTCCACCACTGCCCTTTGGGCCTTCCCAGTGCAGATCCTTAATGCAGACTTGCATGAGACATTGTTGCAGGCTCTAGGGCTCCAGCTGGACTGATGGAAGACAGTCATGGGCTCTAGGTCTTCAGCTGGACTCGTGTAGGACACTGACATGGAAGCCAGGCCCTCAAGCTGGATTCTCTGGGTCTCCAGTGGTGTGGACAGATCTCCAGCACTCTTTTGCATTTGACTCATAGGGTGAATATTATAATCTTATAAATTATGTGTCCTGTGTTAAACTGTTTCCTTTGCAAACCCTGAGTACAACAACCTACAGAATGGGAGAAAATACTTGCATGTCACATACCTGTCCTGAATATATAAAGAAGTGTTATACTCAATCAGAAAAACAACCTAATTTTTAAAATGATCAAACAACTCTTACGTACTTTTGACACAACTGTAAATTGGTAAAGCCATTACAAAAAACATGGAAGTTCCTCAAAAAATTAAAAATAACCTGAGCATGGTGGCACACACCTATAATCCCAGCATTCTGGAGGCTGAGGCAAGAGGACTGCCCCAAGTTTGAAGCCAGCCCAGGCTATATAGTGAGTTCAAGGCCAGCCTGACCCTGTCTCAAAAAGCATAAGAACAAAGTTAAAAATAGATCTACCACATGATCCAGGAGTCACACTTCTTGTTATATTTCCAGAAGAATTAGAAACAGGGTCTCAAAGAGATATTTTCACACTGATGAAATGTTCGCAGCATTACTGACAATATTCACAGTAGCCAAGAGGTGGCAGCAAATTTCCATCTAAATATGGTTGTGTACAATATATTAGTCAGCTTTAAAAAGGAAGAAGTCAGTGGTGACAAATGGCTGTAACCCCAGGATTCTTCAAGGGTGAGGCAGGAGGATCACAAATTCAAGCCCAGCCTAGGGAGCTTAGTCACTTATGAGACCCTGTCTCAAAAATCAAAAGCGCTTGGGATGGAGCTCAGTGTAAAGTCCCTGGGTTCAATTCCCAGTGCCACCAAAAACAAAGTGAAAGGATAAAAACTGGGGCCAGAAAAGGAAGGAAAGGGTACGATCTTATCCAAAAAAGATATAAAAGGCCATAAAGATATGAAAAAAAGTTGAGCATTGTAGTTATTGGAGAAATACCGTAATGCAGTACTATATCATACTACAGCAGGACAGCTACAATAATTTTAAAAACCCAAATAACACAGAACATGAAGCGCTGGCTAGGACGCAGAGAAGCTGGGGCCTTCACGTGTTGTTGGCGGGAATGTAAAATGGTTCAGACACTGAGGAATAGAGCGTTACAGTTCCTCCAGAAGTTCAACACAGACTCACTAGATGAGCCACAAAGTCACTTCTAGGTTATACCAAAAATTATTGAAAATAGGTATTCAAACATAGCAGCACTATTTACAACAGACAAAAGGTGGAAATAGCCCAATGTCCACCAAAGGATTAATGGATAAATTGGAGCCTGCACACGTAGTGGAATATTACTTAGTCACAAATAGGGATGCAGTATTGACACATGCCACTACATGGACAAATTTCAAAAGCATCAGAGGCCAGACACAAAAACTTCTATTGTATGATTCCATTTACAGGAAATATACAGAACAGGTAAATCCATAGCGGTGGAACACCGACCGGAGGTTGGCAGAAGCCACAGGAAATAAGGACTGGGAAGCAGCTGCCTAACGAGCTACAGGGTCTCCTTTCAGGGCAGTGGCAGCCTCTGGAACTACGGGAAGGGATCGCGATACTGTGAATTAGTGAAGGCCGCTGCATCCTTCACTGTACAGTGATTCCGTCGTGTTAACTTCACATCAGCAATGAACATTACACACAGGCTAGTAAGAGCATTTCACCAGTGTTTTATACACTAATGCAACGATTACACAGGATGCAGGGAAGGTGTGGGGTAGGCCTAACGGGTGTGACAGCGAAGCAGAAGCTGTTATACAATCATCCGGGAAGTTAGAAATTACTTGGTTATCTAGAATACAAATTTTTCCAGAAATGGGCCTTGAATCCAAGGCCGCACACTTGCTAGGCAAATACTTTGCCACTGAACTACAGTCCCGGTTCTGTTTTCACAACTCTGGGACCCGGTAAGTCGCCTGCGCTGGGTGTGGACTTGCGATCCTCCTGCTCGCCCTCCTGAGTAGCTGGGGTCACAGGCACCACCAGCACATCCTGCTTACACTTCTTTTTTTAAGAAAAAATATGGAGTAAATTTGTAATAAGCAATAAATGTTACTTCCTTAAAGGTACTGACTTAACACGTGGGCTTTGGAGACAGATGCCTGGGCTTCCCAGCCTGTCTTTCCAGGAATGTTCTGGAGGACTAAGTGAAGGCACGGTTATTTTCCCTACGTCTTTCTGTACTAAGAATTGTATCACTGCTGTTTCAAGATGTATTTGTTCCTCTGCGGGCTGGTACCACACTACCACATTTTAACAAGCTCATACACACCGGAGCTGTAGTAAGCACTTAACGAACATCTCCTGAGCATTTCCTACTGTGTGCTGTGTGCACGTAGCTGCATCCTGAGTGCACCAGAAGGAAGACACGCGCCCTGACCAAACTCCCCGGCCAGTGCAGCGGACCATACACGAATGGCTTATATACCGCGATTATGCGCTACAAAGGAAAACTGTGCTACAAAGGAAAACTGTGCCGGCGAATCAGGGTAGTACAGTAAAATCTTCTCACAAGAGGCCACATTTAATCTGAAAGACCCGCATGGCATTAGATATGGCAACAGATGAGCTTAAGGCTGGACTTTGTGAGGTTACGGTGCAGAGTTTGTACGTTATTTAACTGGCGGGGAAGGGATGCAGTTTTGCGATTTAAAGATTGTCGCGGCTGGGCGTGCAGCCGAGTGGTACAGTGTGTGCTGACTAGCGGTACGAGGGCGACATTCCGTGATATTACAGAAAATACTGCAAAGCCAAGCGGATGACCCAGTGTTTTGGAGACAGGGTCTTGCTCTGTATACTGCCCAGGCTGGCCTCGAACTCGCGGCGATCCTCCTGCCTCGGCCTCCCGAGGGCTGGGATTACAGGCGAGCGCCACCACGCCTAGCGACGCAGTATCTGTAAAGAAAAGGCCAGCCACGGCTCTCAGGACGTCTCGCCGGGAACCCGCGGGGCTGGGGCCGCGCCCGGCGGGAGGACAGCCCGAGGGAAGTCCAACTCCGGTGTGCCTGCCCGCTTTAACACCACCGCGTCAGAACGCCAGGGGCCGGGCCGGCCCGCTGTGTACCGACACACGGGGCGCAGAGGGCCCTCGCTGCGAGACGATGACGCTCACCACGGCGAGCCCGTCGGCCGAGACCGGCCGCGCACGACGGCCGCGGACGCGCCATCCGAGACCTTCCTCCAGCCGCCGCTCGCTGACCCCACCCCGGAAGTGCGCCCGCCTCGTCCTCACTTCCGCTTTCCCAAGCGTGCCCTACTCTCGCGAGAACTGAGAGCGCTATGTGAGCTGGGCTAAGCGGAAGTCGGGCCTCTTTTTCGTGGCGCGGGAGGGCGAGCGGCGGCTTCGAGATGAAGGTAGACCGCGGTGGTGGGGGTTGGACCGGCTTGGGGCGTGAGGTCGCGCCCCAGAGCGCGGCGGTGCCCCAGTCCCCGCGCCCCGGGACTCCGGCTTTGGGTGGGGAGGGCGCCGCGGCCCGATCGGGCTCCCTGTGGCGGGGCTGGAGGTCCCCGGCAGCGCG